AGATGTTAAGCAATGAAATGCTATACTGTTATAAGTTATAGTGAACTTTGAGTGCCAGGCTGAAAAGTTTGCAGTTGTGGTAATAACTGTTGAAATAAACTCCATTCGTCAAGGGCATTGTCTTTTTGAGGTTTTCCTTGGCAGTTCCTGTGATGATTTACAGTGCAAGGTAATGTCACTATTTCTCCCTGAGTTTTTAGTGATGGGGAGGACTACTGAGTTAAGAGCCCTGTAAGAATGGTCCCCATTCTTATGCAAATACAATTCTAGAACAGATGTTACCGTGTGAGGTCTCTGCAATGTGTTAAAAGGCATTGTGGAGGAATGTGAGAGGGCTCCTAACCACGTTAGAGGAGAACCTGGAAGATTTGCACCCAGTAATGCAACAGGATACCAGCACTACCAGTTCACTTATGTGTGAATACTGCTGGCACTTAGCATGCTAATTATACACGATGAAATCTGTCCTTGGATTCCATAACATTACAGTGTGCGTGCCATCCTTTGGAAAAAAGAGTATGTTCCGGCAGCAGAATAAATCCTAGTCTTTGTACTGGGATCAAGTTAGTCTCCTGGCACAGCTGGGAGATAGTGCAGCTTTCTCTTCAAAGTGCTATTTTTAGCTGTTGCCAAGGAGATATTCAGCATGATATTGATACTTGAATTAATCCTCAATTTACACAATCTGTGGAAGCAGCGGCTCTTTTTCCAGGGTTTACTGCTTAATGGGTCACTGAGTTGTGATTTATCAGACCAAAAAATAAAATTCCTTCCTTAGAATAATTGGCCTCTGAAATACGTTCTGGAGCTCACCTCTTGGCCAGTTCAACTTTTAGGCCTAGTTATAAAGACACTGTGAGCTTTTCTCAGGCTGCCTGCTCAGGCTGCCCCTTATCAATAATTCCTTCTGGGTGTACCTTGGGTCTAGGCTTTTCTCATTGAAATGTTAATGTTCTAAATTTACCAAATAATGATTAAGCTCTTAAAACACACACACACACACACACTCACACTCTCACACAGGCACGCACGCACGCACATGCATGCGAGCTTCACAAGAGCCTGATCTGGCCGTCTGGAAGACTCACCTGTGTTCATAGAACATTCCTGATAAGTTGGCACTGGATAACAGATTATAGACCAGAAAGTAGCTTGAAATTAGAGTTAAAATAGATTGAAATTGTTAACGTATGGACATTAAACTCTAATAACTTGATGAGTTGCCCTTCTCTAAAGAATTTTTTGATATAACTGTTTTTTTAAAAATATATTCCAGACCTTTAAGACCTGTGATGCATTTATTCATGTGATCCTATAATTTTTTCTTTTAACTTATTAACATGCTACCTTGCATTAATATATTTTCTAATGTGAAAACAACTTTTCATTGTTACAACTTTATTAGCCAGTGATACATGGGTGTGTGTGTGGTTTTGAGTGAATTTAAAATTGATTGAATGAATTCTCTAATATTTATAGGGTTTTGATTTTACCCTAATTGAAATTGTTTTAGAATTAAAAAATTTTTTTTAGTTTTTCCTAAACCCCTTCACCCATTCTCCCACACCCACCGCACCCCACCCCCGGCCCCAACCTATGAGCCTGGTGTTTTTTGTTTTGTTGTTTTGTTTAGATTCCACATATAAGAGAGATCATGTGGTGCTTGTTTTTCTCTGACTGATTTATTTCATTTAGCATAATGCCCTCTAGGTTCATCCATGTTGTCGCAAATGTGAAGAGTTCATTCTCTTTTATGGCTAAATAATATTCCGTTGTGTGTGTGTGTGTGTGTGTGTGTGTAACACCACAGTTTCTTTATCCATTCATCCATTGACGGCCATTTAGGTTGTTTCCATATCTTGGTTATTATAAACAATGCTGCAGTGAACATGGGGGTGCAGATATCTTTTTGAGTTAGTATTTTCATTTTCTTCAAATAAATACCCAGAAGTGGAATTGCTGGATCATATGGTAGTTCTATTTTTAAGTTTTTAAGGAACGTCCATACTGTTTTCCATAGTGGCTCTACCAATTTACATTCCCACCAACAGTGCACAAGGGATTTCTTTTCTCCACAGTCTTGCCAATGCTTGTTATTTCTTGTCTTTTTGATAATAGCCATTCTAACAGGTGTGAAGTGATATCTCATTGAGTTTTGATTTGCATTTCCTTGCTGATTAATGATGTTGAACGTCTTTTCATGTACCTGTTTGCCATGTATGTCTTCTTTGGGAAAATGTCCATTCAGATCTTCACCCACTTTTTAATAAGATTGTTTGAGGTTTTTTGCTGTTAAGTTTTATGAGTTCTTTATGTATTTTAGATATTAATGCCTTATCAGGTATATGATTTGTAAATATTTTCTTCCATTTATTTTGTTGATGTTTTCCTTTGCTGCCCAAAACTGTTTAGTTTGATGCAGTCCCACTTGTTTATTTTTGCTTTTGTTGCCTTTGCTTTTGATGTCAGATTCAGAAAATCATTACCAAGACCTATGTCAAGGAGCTTACTGCCTTAGTTTTCTTTTAAGAGTATTATGGTTTCAGGTCTTACGTTCAAGTCTTTAATCCATTTTGAATTAATTTTTGTGTCTAGTATAACATAATGGTTCATTTTCATTCTTTTGCATGTGGTTGTCCAGTTTTCCCAGCACCACTTATCGAAGAGACTGTCCTCTCCTCATTGTATATTCTTGGCTCCTTTATCGTAAATTAATTGACCATGTGTGTGGGTTTATTTCTGGGCTCTCTGTTCTGTTTCATTGATCAATGTGTCTGTTTTTATGCCAATACCATACTGTTTTACTTACTATAGTTTTGTAATATAGGTTGAAATCAGGGAGCATGATGCCTCCAGCTTTGTTTTTCTTTCTCAAGATTGCTTTATCTATTTGGGATTGAAATAACTTTTAACTGGATTTGTTATGGGGTTTTCTTGGCCTCCAGCATCAAATCCCCTTTCTCATGTGGAGGAAATTCCCCTGTGCTGTAATCATGTTGAGTGCCAGTCAGTCCCCCAATTCCCTCACTCTGTTTTCTGACAGCCAAGGCATGTGACCTATGCTTGGCTCATTGGATGCTTCTGACCAAAACTTTAAATCTGGATCAGGACAAAGAAAGGGGAATGGATAGGATTTATTGGCTGCTATTACAGTCCTATCTTGGCCAGATTCTTCCACTAAAAGACACTTACGTTTTCTTGCTTTTTGACTTAACAGAGCTGACTTGAGTCCTGCCTGTTTTCTAAGCGTATATTTTAGGCCTCCCTTTGATTGTGTGAGCCCCACAGTAGCTTTCCAGTAAATATTCCCTTAAATTTTTTTTTGCCTAAGATAGTCCTTTTGCTAGCATCCAAAAATCCTAACCAGTACAATAGAGGATATTATAATTCAAGCACCTCCTTCCTGGGTAGTACTAGGTAAATGTGGCCACATTTTTGTGTTTTGATCGCCATCACCACTACCCATTTTATTTTTTCCTGTATTCCCTTAGAGTAGTCCTTCTTCAGATATGTTGTATCTTAACATGAATTATTATTGTGTCTGCTGAACATTAATAGATGTCATAAAAATTAAATTCAGTTTATACCTACCTTTTAGTTTCTTTATTGAGATTCATCAAGTGTTCTGTTTCATCCAGAGTATAGTAATAAGGTATTTGGAAAGCACCCTGGTCTCAACAGCTCATTTACAAATCTTCTCCAGAGACATAACATTTTTAGTTTAGTTCCTAATCTTAAGAGTACTAATTGTTTAGGCTCCCAGTTTGTACTGTAGATGAAAAACCCTGCTAACTTTATTTCCTCCCTTTGAAGTTTTTATTTAGTCAGAAGCTTCAAGAATGATGGGAGAGATTTTTGGAGATTCTCTCTTTTTAAAAAAAACTGTCAAAAGGTGGCAGGCAGGGCTCCCCTAGTGGCGCAGTGGTTGAGAGTCCGCCTGCCGATGCAGGGGACACGGGTTCGTGCCCCGGTCCGGGAAGATCCCACATGCCACGGAGCGGCTGGGCCTGTGAGCCATGGCCGCTGGGCCTGTGAGCCATGGCCGCTGGGCCTGTGCGTCCGGAGCCTGTGCTCCGCAACGGGAGAGGCCACAACAGCGAGAGGCCCGCGTACTGCAAAAAAAAAAAAAAAAAAAAAAAGGTGGCAGGCAGACACTGCTGCCAGTTCTGCTTCTGCCGACCATATTGCTAAGATGTTCAAGGCTGAAAGCACATAGGGACTCGGCACGTGTCATCTTTGCTCTACAGAATAACATTCACTCTGCCTTTGAGTTCAAAGAGTGCTTGGCCATCTGTGTTAATTTCTGAGTTGTTAGAAGAAGCTAAGAAAAGAGAGGTTTCTCTGGGTTTCTTCAGATTTCCCTGTGTTAGCCTGCTAACTGCATACTGCCTGACCCTGCAAATAAGACTTGTCCTCCATAATGCGCTCTGCTGGCTACTGTATGTCTCCTTTATGACACAAACTGCAATTGTAGCTAAGTAAGTATTACATTATTTATTTTACAGAAAAATAATAGCTAATATTTATTGAGCCCTTATTTGCCAGTCGGTGTATTGGGAGTTTTACATAAATTATCACATTAATCCATAAATCTATTAAAGCCTTAATTTTTAGATGAAGAAACTAGGCTCAGAACGATCAGGAACTTGTCCAGGATCTTCTACAATTAATAAGTAGCAGATCTAGAATTTGAATTTATAATGGTAAGCGTACCAGTGGGTATACTTAGTTTCATTTTTAGTAAATAGAAATTACTGTTCCGTGCAAAAGCTAGAAATAGAAAACCTGGGTTTTATCTTTTAAACATCAAGAATTCACTTGATGATTAGCCAGATGGTCATGTGTTTTTTTCAGCATGTTTGAGATTTAGATAAAACTGACCCAGTTCTCAAAAGTCAAGCTGCTGCCTTTTGAATAGCATAATGTGTAATGAAAGCTGACCTTTTTGTTCATTTATCATAATATTGTGAGAATTTATGTCATTCTCTGATCTCTTTCAGAGAAGGAGAGAAGAGAGCTCTAGACTAAAGGAGGAGGGAAATGAGCAGTTTAAAAAAGGAGGTAAGATACCTATTTCAGCACTGATGCTGGGCGTCTTGACTCCTCATTCTTTTGTAGATTCTGTGAAGAAACACCAAAGAACATATGGAAACAATTAGCAGATCTAAACTGCTAATAATACCCTGTTGCCTCCCAACACCTTGGAATTTTGGTTTTTTACCACGTCCAAATTATTCTCAAGCGACAGTGACCAGTTACCATGTGTTTCTAGGCACAGGCATAGTTTTTCTTTTCTGTAATCTACTGTCTATAAACCCAGAGATTAGAAGGAAAAACTCTTGAGTTTTTGCTTTGGGAAACTCTAAACTGGAATGTTAAAAGGCTATTTTGCTACATTGCTGTAAAAAGAGGGTCCCCGTTACTTGTGACAGTGCTGTGAATACTGGCCCAATGCATCCGGTGTGGCCGAGGGAAGGATTTTGCTTGTACTTTGGTTGCTCTTTCATGTGCCTTTTTCTGTGGATGCCTTAAGTAGAGAGATGTTCCTTCTGGGCTTCCTATATTTGCTTAGGAATAAGTGGGGTTCGTTCTTATAATTTGGGGGAACTATTTGATCTTATGATCAAATTCTATCACATCTCAGAGTGTGCATGCTTTAGAAATCTAGGAGTAGTAACATCTTCCCCTAGTTACTTTTAGGTTAAAAAATTTTTTTTTCTTATATCCTGGTTTAGCAATCATCACTTCTTTTTTTCTAAGAAAACTAAAGGTTCTCTGAAAGCGTATCTCCTTGTATTTTAGTATCAAATCTTTCAAACCTGAGAAGGGAGTGAGTAGGCAATTTTTCTTTTAGTACCCCGACCGTAATTCTTTGTGTGGCAATGAATATATAAATTTATCACCATTTTCTCTTTTAAGGTGTTTAGTCAACTGCTGATTTTTACATTGTGCTTTTGGCTCTATAAAATGTCTCTCCAAACATTTCATGGAAGCAGTTTTAGCCAGGTTGACTCCATGAAAGTACAATGTCTTTAATGAAAATATATACATAGAATTTTTTTCTTCATCCCGGGCCATTAATCCCAGATTTCAGTCTCTTTCATCTGTCCAGTTCCCTAATCCCCTTTCAAAACTCTTTACTAAATTGATAAGCCAAATTAAAGGTGAACATATAGAGCATTCTGTTGGAGACCTTTGTCCCGTGAATGGAAAGCGATGCATTCTGAGATCTTTTGGAATACAGTGATATCAGGTATAAAATCATAACGACCTCTCATATTTTACCTTATCCTCAGATTATATAGAAGCTGAAAGTACTTACAGTCGAGCCCTTCAGATGTGTCCATCCTCCTTCCAGAAAGACAGGTCTATCCTGTTTTCAAATAGAGCTGCCGCAAGGATGAAACAGGTATGTATCTTTGACCTTTTCTTTTTAAGAAGCACGTGAACTTACAGTGTTTTCATAGGATAGCTTCTCTCCAGAAACAAGCATAGGGGCTCTAAAGTTGCTGCCTCTCTTTTCTTACCCATATATTTCCCTGATTTAAAGGGCATGGGGAAGATAGAAAAGATATTTTGAAAAACTTCAGTCAGATTACTGTTCACATTCCTCATTAAAGTGGCTGAGTGAACACTTCCATGGAAGGAAGCCTGGCAAAGTTTCCGCCAAACTAGGGCAGGTTAATGAAGCAAAGAGCCTATAGTGCATCTCCTAGAATAGCTACAGCTGCTTATTTTAGGCCTCTGGAACTCTAGATAAAGACCCAAAGGGGCAGGAAACAGTGCTTAAAACTGAACTTCAAGATGCTTATCCCTGAGATTCTGATTTTCTGTTGAAAGTGTGGACATAGGGAGAAACGTCCAAGAGTTGGGGTGAGAGGTACGCTTAAATGCAAAGTAGGTGTCAGGGAAAGTTCAAAGGTATTTTATATTTCCAAAGGATTGAGAACCTGGTGTAACAGGGTGAATTTAGGATAGATGAGAGTGTAAATATATTTGTTTGGTATCGTGCTGGATACCAAAAGTTAGATTTGTGATTTGTCTGATATTCCTATTTAGTCAACACAGTAAATCTTGCCAGATTGAAATGATGAGAGCTTGAAAAAAACAATACCACTTGTTTAACTGTGACTACTTGTATTCCAAGCACAAAGGGTAGGTTTTTTAACACACCTCTAAGCAGCTACAAAGCAGGCCCAAGACTGGGTGGAGTGGTTTTCTGTTCTTTTAGATCAGGTATCTACATCACTTTCTTTTTTGATGTTGACTGGAATTCTCTAGTGCTTCTACCAAAGTCACTTTGGATGGCCAGGGTTTTTAAAGGTGGGTGGGGGTGTGCTTGAATATTCGGACATGCAAAAAGTTTTATTTCAACCCAGACTCATACGTTTTATTATTGGATTCAGTGTCTAGGGTGAAGTTTTTTAGAGTGATTCATGTGGCATGAGAGAAGGAATAATTCTAGAGTATACAAACAGACATTTTGTATTAGGGGAAATAAAACAACTGTTTTAAGTTTATTTAAAACAACAGTCAATATATTCTACCATTGATCAGAATTCACACCTAATAGTTTTTACACTTAGCTGGAAAATTCTGATCTTTCACTTTTGCCTCTTGGAGACATCTAGCCACATTCTTAGACTGGAAATTGTCGTTGTGAAGTGAGATCGAGGATACCTTCAGTGTCAGAGAAAACTTTGTACCATACCCATTTGGCTCCTGGGTTTTGGGATTCTTTGTTCCTACAATTGCCAAGTTACTGGCATTGCTAGTGTTGGGCTGGTATGATCATCTGGTTCTTGAATTAGGAAAATGTATGGCCTTGCTAGTCTTCTGTCTGTCACAGCTGAGGAGAACTCAAAAGAGAGTTGCTCTGTGACTCTTTCCTGAACAAAGGATAGGTTTGTTAGTGGGGTTTTTGTTTGTTTTGTTCTTTTAACTTGCATTCCTAATATTTTTAAAAGATCCTAAAATTATAGACTTGGAGACTTTCAGAATTCATGTACTGAAGTGATTTAAGGAGCATGTTCTGAGTTTAAGGAAGTGATGGGTTAACTGCTTTAAGAAGAATTTCTGAAAGGCAAGTTTGCAGGCTCAGCATCCCTGACTGGGTGTGCCTGGGCAAGCTTTTATGTTTCATGTCTGGAGATGGCAAACTGGAGTTAGGACAGAGTTTCAGCTCTAGGCCTGACTACACAAGAGTAGACAAAGCCCTAAAAAAATAGGCTCTAAAAGTAGTTACTTGGGGGCACAAAGAATACCACCACAGCAGTTGTAAACATAAGTTATAAAGATTTGGGACTTCCCCGGTGGCACAGTGCTTAAGAATCTGCCTGCCAATGCAGGGGACACGGGTTTGAGCCCTGGTCAGGGAAGATCCCACATGCCATGGAGCAACTAAGCCCATGCGCCACAACTACTGAGCCTGCGTTCCACAACAACTGAAGTCCGTGTGCATAGAGCCTGTGCTCCGCAACAAGAGAAGCCACTGCAATGAGAAGCCCGCGCACTGCAACAAAGAGTAGCCCCCGCTCACTGCAACTAGAGAAAGCCCGTGCACAGCAACGAAGACCCAATGCAGCCATAAATTAATTATTTTTAAAAGTTATAAAGATTTACTCCTATTTCAGTTAAAATATGAAGTTGTATCTTAGATTTATAGAAATCTAATAAGTTGGGGAAATACTGACTTACAGATTTCTTTACTACAGGACTTCTTTCTTGTTAGAGTTTTTAATATGTGAATTGCTATGCTGAACATTGGAAGAGGTAATATAGTTAGTGTTTCCCAAATGACTCTGGAACCTTTTTTGCTTATTGTGGGTAAAATACACATGCTACAAAATTGACCATTTTAACCATTTTAAAGTATACAATTCAGTGCCATTCACAGTGGCACTGGATACATTCACAGTGTTAGGCAGCCGTCACCACTGTCTGGTTCCAAAATTTTTTTTATGACCCTAAAAGGAAACCCATTAAGCAGTCACTCCCCATCCTGGAACTGTTTCTGATTGAATCCTGAAACTCAATTTGGTAGACATTGCTCTAAAATATTCTGCAAAATATTTGGCATTTCCTATAGTAGCCATTATGGAAGTATTGAATGTTTATTTGAACTCACATTTCTCTAACATTGTAGACAATTTCTAATTTGGGGAAAATAGACATTTAGAGCTTAGAAAAGTTAAATAGCCGATTAGTGTCAGAGCTGAAACGAGAATCTAGTTCTTTTGATATCCTGTGTTCTTTCCACTGTGCCATGCTTCGCAGTTCAGCAAGTTATATTAGTTAGATATCTTATTTAGTGAATTGTTTGGTATTTTTGTTTCATCAGTGGATAAATTAAGGTTCATAACTGAGACTACGCGACAAACCATACAGTGTCTGTAGATGGACCATCTGTATACATTTTCAAGATACCACTTTGGGTGCGATATATAACAGCTAGCCAAAGAGGAGGGTTATTAATTCAGTTATTCATATATCAGTCATTTGCCCTGTTAATTGATCACAAAGTTTTCTCACTGTAATATTCTAATGTAAAGTGTCTTGCAAATATAACAAATCAATTGCCACAGTCTTTAAAGATACTTTAGGAAAAAGCTAGTTGAATAATTTGTCACCAGGAGGCTTTCAAGTTAGAGCTGTGAGCATAGTTTGAATTTTAGCTTGGAAGTAACACACGTGTTTTGGTGTTATTTCCTTGAAAAGCATTCTGCATCTCCATAAGCAATTATTAATGATCAGCATATGTCATTGAGCCTTTGGGCTATTGTGACAGAATTAGGGTGACATATTAATGATCTATTTCCTTTTAGGACAAGAAAGAGATGGCCATCAGTGACTGCAGCAAAGGTACAGCTTTTTGGTCTTGTTGCATGTTAACATACAAAAGCATTACCTCAGCTAGACAAGCAAATAAGGAGGCTCTCAATCAGGTGTTTATTTGTACACATGTACTCTTCTTCTGAGGCAGTTAAAGAAGAAGCTCTCGGCCTTTCTTAGAGGTACTGCACAGTAGTTGTCTTAGTGTAAGCATGCTTTTGAATGGATAGTTCAGTCCGTTTATCCTGTATTGGTAAATATGTGGAGAATAATTCCAAGCTACCTTGGCCACAGAAACAGAGTTTATTCCCTGTATGTCCAAATTACTCTCCTTTGAAACTGAAGTTGAAGATCTTAGTTAGCTGCTGTTGGGGCCCCTGAATCTGTGTTTGGAAGGGCAGTTGCTGTTAGGGAATTGGTACTCTCTTCAGATATAGTACTTAATCCAAACCTCCTTGCCATCATTTTAATTATCCTTTCAGCTTCCACACAGTGAATCAAGCCTCTGCTATCTGAGTTCCATCGTGGTCTTTTCGTTCTACCAACTGATAGAGACAGCCCCAGACATAGGATCACCATTGTTTTTTCCACAGATTTCCTGATAGGCCAGACGGTTGTCTTGTCTTGGTGTGGAGAACACGCAGTCATTTTCCTTGCATCTTGCTACTCTCATGAGTCTTTCTAGCTAATTACTACTCTTGTAATTTGTGGGTTGTTGTTGCTTTTTTTTCCATTTTCCTCCTTTGGATAATATTTTCTCTGAGAGAATCATAGAGTTAGAAAGAACCTTATATATAATCTAATCCCACTCTCAGACCAAGCATGAATTCCCTCTTCTGTTTTTTGGGGTTTTTTAACATGAATTAGTCACCCTCTCTACTGGATTTCTTTTCTTTATCCTTGGTATTTCTATAGAGTATCTGAAGGAACCTGTTAGAATCTAACAAACTTCTTCTGGTCTATTTATCTTGGACTGCAACTAATTCTGAATGTACTGTTTTGTTTGGAAGAAGGTGTTCAGCCTTAATCTGTGTGAGATGTGTGGGTTTGAAGAGTTTAAATTAGGAACAAGATTCTGATTTTCAGTTCTTTTCTCTGTAACCAAACGGTGAGAAAATGTCTTGTAAGCCTGATTAGCAGGGTATACACTAGGAAAGGGAATTCATTTCTAGCTGTAACCCTCAGTGTAGGAGCCAAGAAAATGGGAGGAAGGGGAAGGAAAGTGTTTCCAACCAAAGTGTTTTCCAGATTTGTTTTTGGATTTGGTTAAATCAGTATTCATGTGCTTATACTTAGTTGTTATGGGCTGCATATGGGTTGTTGAACCCATAGGCCAAATACGTTGACACTAGTATGGTTTATTTGTATTAAGGACCCTTCTCCTCCCACTAACCCCCCCAAACACATGCCCACTCAGTGCATAAACCCTGGCAAAGGACTTAGCTTATTTCTGAGGTCATATTTGGAGCTCATTACTACCAGTTATATGGAACAATATTTAATGCTAGTCACCTTTGGTCTTTTAGCCTTGGCATAAATAAAGTTTAAGTTAATTCTGTTTATATGGATTGAGAAAGAAAATCACAAGTTACAGTGAAAAGTTGACATTTGAGATTTTTATAAAGTAATCATGGGGAATTCCCTGGCTGTCCAGTGGTTAGGACTCGGTGCTTTCACTGCCGGGGCCCGGGTTCAATCTCTGGTCAAGAAACTGAGATCCTGTAAGCTTTGAGGTGTGGCCAAAAAAAAAAAAAAAAAAAGTAATCATGGAAAGAATTCTTTCTCTTCAATACATATTTGCATTGTTAGAAGCTATCCACTAGTTGAGAAGGGGGCAGTATCTGAGTTAAAATGTAAATTAGGGGGTTCCGTTTTTTAAAAGATGTAGTAGAAGTCACTGGAGTATTTTTTTTTTTCCTGTGAGTATTATGTAGTTGGGAATATTTTAAGAGAATATGATGTGCTGGACTACGCGGAGATTGACAGCATGTAAAGTTGAAATGTTGAGGTTTGGGTTCTTTCAGAAAACCTACTCCTGAACCAGTATCCCGCTCCAACCCCTGTCCCATTTCTCTGGTCTGCTTCATTGAAAGATTGTCTATACCTACTGTGTCTCCTTTGTCTTCTCCCATTCTCTCCTCACACATCCATTGGACTTCTGTTTCATTCATGCCCCTGAAACCCATCTTGTAAAGGTCACCAACACCTTCCTCTTGTTCAGTAGTTGCTTCTCTATCCTCATCTTACTTGACTTCCCAAAAGCATTTAACACAGTGTGTCATTCCTCATTTTCTTCTGTTTCATTGGCTATTCCTTTTTAGTCTCTTTTGCTGGCTTCTCTGTCAGCCTCATCATTTTGGAAGTCCCTAGTTCTTCATCTATAGGGCCCTCTTTTTTTTTTCCCTCTATATTTTCTCCCTATGTGATCTCATCTAGTTCTGCAACTTTAAATAACCCATCTCTATGCTATAGTTTATATTTTTGGCTCTGCCCTGTAGTCTGGAGCCCTGTATCCCATTGCAAAGTTGACATCTCTGGGATGTCTAGTAGGCATTGCAGATTTAACGTGCCCAGAGCAGACTCTGGTGCCTCCGCAGTCCCCACGCATGCATGCGTGAATACAACTTGAGGTTAGTTTTTTTCATTCTAATGAATGGCATTATTACCCATTATTTACTTGCTGAAACTAAAACCTTTGGAGTCATCCCTGATTGCTCTTTCTTTCATTCCACATGGCTTAATTAATTAGCAAATCCTTTGGGCTCTGATTCAAAGACATTTCCTTAATCTGGCCTCTCCTTTTCATCTCCACTGTTAGCAGCTTAGTCAGCATCCTCTCTCATCTGGACCATTGCAGTGACGTCCCAGCTGTCTCTGCTTCCCCTCGTCCCCTCTACACTGTAGCCAAAGTGATCCTTTAAAACTGTAAATCAGATTATGTCTTGATCTGCTTGAAAACATTCCAGTGGCTTCGTATCAGACTTAAGAAAAAGTCCAAGCTCCTTTCCCTGGCCAGCAAGGCCTCCATGACCTGCTTGTTGCGTATCTTCAACCTCATCTCTTCCACAGCCCTTACCTAGTCACCAACAAACACGTCAAAGTTATTCTTGCTTTAGAGCCTTTACTCTTGTTAGTCCTTTTTCCTGTATGCTCTTCCTCAGCTTTTCAAATGGCTGGCCTCCCTCAAATAATCCTTTTTCGTATTTGACCACTCTCTAAAGTTACTTATTCCCCTCTTCACCTGAATTTACATCACCTTGTTTTATTTTTCTCTACAGCACAAAACTATCTGAAATTATTTGTATGCCATCTTCTCTTGCCTCTTAGAATAGCTTAAAGCTTCATGAGAACGTGGACGTAATCTGTTCTGTTTGCCACTACTATACTCCAGAGATACACTGCACTAGGTGCACATATCAGGTACTAAATAAATAGTTACTGAAAGCATGAGTGAATTTAAAAATGAGTATATCACTTGAAAAAAGTTCTAGAGCCATGATATTGCTTTCTAACAGAGAAAGAAACAACTCAAAAAAGAATACAAGAATGTAGTATACTTGAACCAAAACGCGGGCACTGGATTATTGGAAGGGTTGTTGTTGGAAAAAGGAGAGGATATTATGTGCCAGTTGTCTAAGGGTGTTAGAGCGGGAGTTTGAAGGAACAGTGAGGATTTAGCTAAAAATGTAACCTCAGGAGTCAAGGCACGACCGCAGTAGCTGAGGCCTAGAAAAGAGAGAATGATAGCAGAGCCTGCCACCAAAGTTCTCCCTCAATTTTTTAATGTGTGCCTTCAAATTCCCTCTTACTTTTTCACTGTGCCTTGAGCTCTGTGTTTTGGTCTGTTCTGAAGTGGATGAAGGACAAGTAGGTGGAAAGCAGGACTTGGGTATGGACCAGGGTTTGGTAAACTACAGTCAACAAAGCCAAATCCAGCCTGCATGCCACCTGCTTTTTTACAGCCTACAAGCTAAGAACGGTTTTTACATTAAATGGTTGGAAGTAAAAGAGAAGTAATATTTCAAGACACATAAAAATTATGTGAACTTCAGACTTCAGTATTCATAAATAAAGGCTTATTGTGATACAGCTAACCTTATTTGCTTATGCGTCATCTATGCTTGCTTTCTGCTACAATAGCAGAGTTCAGTAGCTGTAACAGACGGTCTATCCCGCAAAGTCTAAAATCTTTACTATCTGCCCTTAACAGAAGAAGTTTGCCAACTGTAGGTATGTCCTTTGACAAATAACTTTTCCTTATGGACCCATGGAGAGTAATAAACTTGATATAGCTGAGGATGTATAGGCCCTTTTTCCTCATGGTGACAATTATTTCTTCTCTTTTTATAGCAATTCAGTTAAACCCCAGCTATATCAGGGCAATATTGAGGAGAGCGGAGTTGTACGAGAAGACTGACAAGCTGGATGAAGCCCTGGAAGACTATAAATCCATACTAGAAAAAGATCCGTCAGTACATCAAGCAAGAGAAGCTTGTATGGTAAACCTAATTTTTTTACAAAAATATTTTCCATTCCTTGTGTTGCTACTCGGTGAATGTTAAATGATCCTTAGAGACACAACTATATGCCATTTCTAAGCTTTTGAGAAGCTTATCCGAATATATGGGAGATAGAACTTTGAAGTGGTGGCCACACACCCACTGTACCATGTACTATTTAATCTTCATTCTAAAAGTGTTATCTGTGTAAACCTCTAACCTCTAGGGTTGACAAGAACTTTATTTCATTGTTGGACTGGGAAATCTTGTCTACTTGTAGGTGCCTGGTTTAGTTGAAAGTGAGTCTTAATATTATAGGTAACAAATTTCTGGTTTTCTTGTCATCCTTTTCCTTACTCAGTCACCAAGCTTCTATTCATTGTTATATGGCCAGCACATTTCCAATTGAATATATCCTAAACTAACTTTCTTCTCTCTCTTAAAATGACTCTAGTTCTTGTCCTTGGCACTAACAGTCCTTTTGCTTCTAAATGACATAATATTTTTTATGTTAGTTGTAAGTTAACTAAATGTTACTGGTTTTCCTCCCTTTAAAAATAACTCCAGATTTGTGCTCTTACCTTTAGCACCACTCTTTGATTATCTCTAACGCACAGAGCAACATACACTCTGAAGGATATACTGCAGTATTGGATGTGTATATCTTATTGCCCCAAAATAATGTGTGTTCAAGTAAGTTCGACAAACACTGGCTTTAACCAAACAGGTTTCTTTGCTGCCAGACTTTTCAGAGGGCCATTAGGATGGAGAGGTCATTCTGAACCCAGTATGCCACAGAGGTGGCAGGAGCCGGGGAGCTACAGGAGTCTTTTATTTAAGCCAGACTTCTCGGTTTTGTTTTTGGAATTAAGGGCACTTGCCAACATTTACAAATGGAAAGATTTTACTAGATGAAAATCTAAGTCGGGCTCCTCTTGAAAGTGGAAGATGCGGACGTGCTGGCTCCTCCTTGAGCTCCCACACGCTGGCGCTCAGCTGGCGCTCTCGATTCCACGCTGAGCATGCCCGTACTCTTGCCTTACACCCGGTCCATTACTTACTACCTTTCCCCTCTGGCCCCTGAGGGCATCTGAGCCCCTGCTATACAGGTTCCCGTCTAGTTCACAGGACTGTTATTCCACCAAGCGGACCTGAGAAATGTTGACTCCTCTCCCTGCACTAATATTCTAGGTGGTTTGGGTTTTGTTTTGCTTTGTTTTTATACCCACTTGAGGTGAATTCCTTCAGTAACAACAGATCTTTTGAATAATGGGAGAAGGGCTCGTTTGGGCAATTAAAATACATAAGCAATTTGAAAGCAGTTTTAATCCTTTATCTGACTTTTAACGTATCTCTGAATGGTGTTAGGATTAACTTAAATTTGACATGAGGAAAGGGAATAGAGTTCTTAAAATCTTGGCTAAATTCTTGGTAGCCTTTATCCTTGTCAAATTAGTTTTAAGAGTTCCGTGAAAGGGAGCCTTTTTTTAAAGCTAGCTGTTATATGCATAAAGAATTTATTTTATCTTGAATTATTACAACTGAATTAATACTGGACTCCCAGAGTACTTGGGGGGCAATTACAGAGCTAAAAGTGACCATAGAAGACTCTAATCCAGGTCAGCTGGAGGTGATTTGGTTCCAGGGGGGCATTTGGCAGCGTGGGGAGGCACTTTGTCATGACTGGGAGGGTACTATTGGCATCTGGTGTGTGGAGGCCAGGGATGCTCTAAACATTCTACGATGCACAGGACAGCCCTACAGCAGTTACCCAGTCCAAAATATCAGTAGTGCCAAGGTTGAAACGATCTGATGCTTTCTCAACAAATTAGATTGTATAAAGAAAGGACTTCAAGTTAAAAAATACAAATGAGCAAAAAAATTAATAATATAAATATCACCTATAATCCCACCACCTAAATATACTCCTGTAAACATCTGGTTTGTATCCTTTCAGACATTTTCTGTGTGTGTGTGTGTGTGTGTGTGTGTGTGTGTGTGTGTGTTTCACCAAGTTTTTATTGAGGTCCTCCTTGGGCCACTCTGCTAAGAACTGGGAATATAGCATTGAACCAAACCAAACTCTAGTCTCTGTAGCTCCCCCACAGACAGACATTTGTTCTTCGCTATGTTTAATAGGCTCATGTATATGTACTTAACCTGGTCTCACTTTCACATGAGGTTTTTAATGTTTCTCAAATTCAAATTAAAGCCAAAAGATTTTCACAACCCATGTTTTGGTGCTTTTTCCCTCAGAGGTTACCTAAGCAAATTGAGGAACGTAATGAAAGACTAAAGGAAGATATGTTAGGTAAGTCTGCTTCCCTTACCTTCTCTTGACCATAAATAGCTAGGAAGCCGGGGATGGGGCCATCAGTACTTTTATTCATTAGAGGAGAATACAGCAGTTAGAAATAGCTTTGGGGCCCTTTGTTTGTTGTGGGCACCAGTACCGTGGGGCTAGTGAGTTCTTAGCCATTTTTAACTCTAGAAGGAGCAGTGTGGTTTAGAGTGGATAGCAGCTTTTCAAAAACTAAACTTCCATTTTGTGGGGTTGTTTTTTTTGTTTTTGGAAAATTTTCCTCCCTTCAAGAATGCAAACATAATTAACTCCCAACCTGGGCTGCCACCAACCTTTATTTCAGATCATGAATTTCATAAAAACAGTTGAATTGCTTCATTTGAGTAAACAACTTCAGGTTTTTTGGGTTTTGTGTTTTTTATCTATCTATTTATTTATATTTGGCTGCACTGGGTCTTCGTTGCTGTGTGTGCGCTTTCCCTAGTTGTGGCGAGCGGGGGCTACTCTTCATTGCGGTGCGTGGGCTTCTCATTGCGGTGGCCTCTCTTGTGGAGCACGGGCTCTAGGCGCCCGGGCTTCAGTAGTTGTGGAGCATGGGCTCAGTAGTTGTGGCGCATGGGCTTAGTTGCTCCGTGGCATGTGGGATCTTCCTGGACCAGGGATAGAACCCATGTCCCCTGCATTGATAGGCGGATTCTTAACCACTGCCCCACCAGGGAAGTCCCAACTTCAGGTTTTACGTTCATTAGGATGCAATCAGTACAAGCCAATACCATGTCAAAACCAAGGGGACTTTTGTTTTGAAAATGGCGTTCAGAGTCCCTTTAGTGTTTGAGAACACATGCGAGGGCAAGAATTAGTAGTAAATAGGAAGGGGGAAAAGACTGTGGGTTGGGGGGTCGGGGAAGTGGTTTCATTTGACCCATGTTTTAGTTACTTCTTGTATTTGCCAAAGCATGTTTATAGTTGGAATTACAGAGTTCCTCTCATGAACAGTCTGCTTGACGAAGGGGAGTAAAAGTTCCTGGACAGAGACCTACCCAGCATAGTCTGCTTATAACCTGTCTGATAGTTCTCTGTTCAGGATCTCCTATATATTTTTCCTTATGAATATTTTCTAGATCTATATTGTGAATTGCAATCACATGGGACTAAAGGAAAATCATTTAAAATAAATTGAGCCTGGCCATTTATGGCCTTTAGGCATCAGTATCCAGAGAATGAGACAGATTTCCCCAAAGATCATTCTGATAGCACAGTTGATTGAGAAGAAGCCACTAACCTAGTCGATCCAAAGCCCTCGCCCCTGCTGGATAGACTCAGACTCCAAGGGGAGATGCTTCAGACTTGGGGAGATTTCTGGAGCCTTCCTCAGTTTTTCCAAAATTGGCTCTTTCCCTAATTTACATATTTAATTAAATTTGACACCATGTTTGAGCAGAAAAGTTATTTTGGAGGTACTTTCTCTTCAAAGAAGAGGGAAGAGAGCAAAAAAAAAAAAAAAAAAGGAAGGAAAGAATTTGCATTTAGCTGAGCTGGATTTCATGCTGAAAGAGATGACTTGGTGAATGAGCATAGTGGTTTTGGAAAAGACACTTAGGCACTGGTCCCTGGGTCCATTTGTTTTGAACCAATATGGAAAAATAAAGGGATAGGTGTAAATTGAATCTTACTGCCATTGTCAGTTCCAGATGGAATCAAAACTTCCATCTGTCCTTGTCACTCTAAATTCTAATGAGCTGATGTTTCCTGTCTTGTGGCTTTGGCTTTTACTTATGTTGTTCCCTTCATAAACAACTTAAGTTGCTTGGTAAGTAATATGTCAGTTTGTTGTTACACATCAGTAGTCTGAATGGCTGGACTCTTTTATATTCTTTTTTTCTTTTTTTTATTATTACTTTTGTCTGCGTTGGGTCTTCCTTGCTGCACTCAGGTTTTCTCTAGTTGCAGTGAGCAGGGGCTGCTCTTCATTGCAGCGCGTGGGCTTCTCGTTGCAGTGGCTTCTCTTGTTGTGGAACATGGGCTCTAGGCGCACGGGCTCCAGTAGTTGTGGCACATGGGCTCAGTAGTTGTGGCTCACGGGCTTAGTTGCTCCACGGTATGTGGGATCTTCCCGGACCAGGGCTTGAACCCATGTCCCCTGCATTGGCAGGCAGATTCTTAACCACTGCGCCACCAGGGAAGCCCCTTCCTTTATATTCTTAATGAATATAAGGATCATGAATAAAAATTTGTTCTGGGTGTCACCTCCCGTAGGAGAGCCTTAAAGGGAGAAATCACTCTCAGCCCCACAAGAGCTTTCTGGTGTTCTTCCTTCCTTGTTACAGATGAACCACCTTTAATTCATGTGCTTTGAGATTTTTGGAGGCTGGTCCCTCTAGAAGCGCAGAGTAACGTCACTTGCTTAGAAGTTCTGAGCAAGCTTTTTTGCAGTGGACTGCATGATTTTTAGTGCTAAGTTTCTCTGGAAATGATGGCTTCTGCTGGAAGATTGGCAGTTAAAGATTTTTAAAACTGCTTAACACCATTTCTCACTATCATTTACTACATTATGTGATAATTTAACAAAATGAGATTGTCTTTTAAGTTTGTTCGATAATCTTGACTTGCTTTTCCTTTTCTCTCTGTAACTTGACTTCCTTTTTTGTTAGAAAGAAGAGCTACGTACCCCCCTTCTTGGGAAAAAAAATTCTAATTGGAATTATGAATGGGTAGAACATACTTGCTCCTCTCTTCTTAGTCTGTCATTTATAAATGTCATCCTTAGAGCAGGAGTGGAGACCCAGGGTGGCAGTCACTCATAGTGCCACAGTCCTTGCCAGAGAGGGACAATCATGCTGAGTTTAGATTTGAGGAAAGGGGTCAGTAACTGGAGTGTTTCCTTTTGTCCTTTTCTCTGGGAAGATAGCCTGGTGGCTGTTATAGCCAGGGAATGACTTAAGGGTATAGTCAGTGGTGTGATGAGGTGGGAAAGATGTCCTGGACAGAGCACCCCAAGAGACTCAGAGCATTTAGCTTCTGTTCCAACAATTCCAGGGGATCTGCTCTTCCTACCTCAGTCGAGAGGCTGTCCTGACCTGGAAAACCTAGAGCTGTGACATGAAACTCTTTGATTCCCCCAAAGGATCAAGAGACGTGGGTGAGGCACTGCCCCAGAAACCCTACCTTCCTTTCACTGGCACCCAGCTGCTCGGCACACACAGGGGCCTTGTTCCGCATCCAGCCCAGGTTTTCCACTTGTACCATGCCCTCCTTCCACCTTCTTGGAACATGTTGCTGGTCTCCTGATTCCTGAAGTTACGCAGGTGTTCACTCCTGGCCATTAGCATCCTAATGAGTGTGTAGTTGTGAACTGAATTAAGAATACCACCTTGTGTGTTCCATGTTCAAAAGCTAGATTTGGAGCCGGAAGTAACTTGTTCATTGTCGTTGTGAGGATGCAACAGGTCTTTTTTGGCTATTCCTGTGCATTGTGTGCCTCTCTGCAAGTGATAGAGGGGCCTAGAATCAGCTCCCTTGCCAAATATCACAAGAGAGCCTCGAAATTGTTACTGTCCCTTGAAACTGCTGAAGCCATACATGTGGGTATGGAAATCCAGGCTCTTTTTTCACATTTCTCTTCCTGCTGCCCTGCCTGATACTCTTTACAGACCACACATGCCATGCCGTGTGCTCTGGCCACTGGAGAATCTCTCAGCCAGTTCCGTGTTGCTGTCACCCCCTCAGTAGGGAATGTCAGTTTTGGGTTTTTGATGCCCTGCTTTTTGCTTCGTTACCTAGTTGCTGCTCCTGTAGCTTCTCCTCTTTGATAGTTCTTGGTAAGGCTTCTTTCCACTTCCACGTTCACCCAAGAGCTGACTAATATATAAGCATTTGAATTGAGTGTGAATTTTATTTTCTCTATTCTGTGCTCTCTTAATTTACCTTTTGCTCAGAGGAAAGCAAGAGTCGCAGCTTCATGGCTTAGTTTTCTGCCTCATAAGAGGAAATGCAGTGTCAGGATTCACTTGGATGCAATTTGGTTCTCCTAATAGGAGAAAGTCCTAAAGGATCTATTCCACTGGTCCCAACCTCAGTGATCTTAAGGAGGTGGAAACAAATGGCCTTCCAGGTTCTCCTGATGGTAAACTGACTACTGCACAGTCAGTATCTCTGAAGAGAAATTATGTGTAATGAGTCAGTTGGGTTTTTATAATACAGTGTTGCTTGGAGACACAGAAGTTAATATTTATCAGAACTGGATCCAGTGCCAAGCCTTGATCTCTAGTCATAAATGTTCTTGTCTGAGCACAAGCAGTGTTGGACTCTTCTCTTTGCCATGGGATCTCTTATAGATGAGATCCTAACAGTTAGGGACATGTGGGCACATTCAGGCTGAGTCATGGTGTCAGATTTGCTACAAGTGGAAATAAAGGAACCTAATACTGCCCAGGTCAGGGGAGGGGTGGGATTTGGCAGCCAGTGGAAAGTGTGGCAGATAGGCTAGTTTGGCAGATGATCCTGTCTTGGGTTCAGCGAAGCTGCCCTTGTCTCTGAGTGCCCACCCTGACTGTGAACAACAGCAGGAAGATGGTGAGTGTGTGTGTACAGAGCTAGGAAGGAGCATGACCTCTGCTGAAGGTGCTTCTCTGCCACCATCATCAACAGTAAAAGGTGAATCTTGCAGACACCGAAACTTGTTGGTTGTACCTTAATGTTGTGCTCTGTTTCCTTAGGTTCCCATTGGCCCTACGCTAATTTCAGAGCTTTTTTTAGTTGAAGTGTAGTTGATTTACAATATCGTGTTTCAGGTGCCCAGCATAGCGATTCAGTACTTTTGCAGTTTATACACCATTTGAGGTTATTACACGATAATGGGTATAATGCCTGGTATACCCTTGTTGCTTATCTATTTTATATATATAGTCTGTGTCTGTTATTTTCATACCCCTAACTTCAGAGCTTCCTCACCTGACAGTGTAAACATCAGATGTCTGTTCGGTGAATAAACGGCCCCTTTCCCGTTATGCCTCACCAGCTTTCTGTCAGAACCACCTCCAGGCTCTCCTCTTGTGGTTTATTCTTCACTTTGGCCCGTAGCATTATAAACCCTGAAAGCTGTTCTCAAACCATCAATGGCCTTTGCCGCGCCCTGCCACCTCCCTTTCAGCCCTTTGGACACACTGCCCACCCTTGCCTGCCTGTCTCTGTACATTTGATCCTACCATTTTTGCCTGCACTGCCCACTCCCTCTACCTCAAATGGTTGCAGTCCTGCCTGTCCTTTGGTGGTGATTGAAATGCAGACTCTCACACACAAAGCTCTGCCAGATCTCCCTCCTTCCTGCCCAAGCTGGAGGGCATCTTCTTCTTATTGACTCTCATAGCATTTTATATCTCAGCTACATGTGAACTGGCTTCTGTGTGTGTCTTATCTTCTATCATATCTAAGCTTATTTTGGTGTAAAGACAGTGTCCTGTATCTTTGCATCCCCGCCACATGTATGTACTTAGTACATGTTGGTTGAATTAATTCAAGTCAGGTTAACCTCAGGTCTTCTCTAATGGGGAGACTATTTAATCATGTGTCTTTTTTACGTGTCTGCTACCTTCCAGGGACTAAATGTACGTTGTCTATTTAGCAAGCAGACTTCCCATCTCCTGTTCTACTGTTCTGGGGATAATAGTCAAGCTATTGTGGAATGTTATAAAGGCAGAGATATGAGAATAAAAGGAAAAAAGAATGATGCCATATGTGTTAGGTTGGGTCCTTGGAGAAACAGAAGGCAAGATTTGATTAGAAACACAAGAGAGGACTTCCCTGGTGGCACAGTGGTTAAGGATCCGCCTACCAGTACAGGGGACACGGGTTTGAGACCTGCTCCGGGAAGATCCCACATGCCGCGGAGCAGCAAAGCCCGTGCGCCACAACTACCGAGCCTGCGCTCTAGAGCCCGCGAGCCACAACTACTGAGCCCAGTGAGCCACAACTACTGAAGCCCGTGCAGCTAGAGCCCGTGCTCCATAACAGAGACAAGCCACCGCAATGAGAAGCACGTGCACTGCAACAAAGAGTAGCCCCCACTCGCCTCAACTAAAGAAAGCCCACGCGCTGCAACGAAGACCAAGCACAACCAAAAATAAATTAAAAAAAAAAAAAAAGAAACACAAGAGATTTATTGGAGGAAACACCTGCAAGGGAAAGTGAGGCAGAGGGGCAGGAGCTGGACGTGAGTGGGAGCCACGTCAGGTCCCTGGGAAGAGGGAGGACTTGGTTCGGAGAAGTCCTGCACTGCAGGGTGGTGCCAGGGACGTTTCAGCAAAGCCACTGGGGAGCCACAGTTACCTGTCACAGGGGCCCCTGCTCTGTCCCTGCCCTGCTCCGCCACTGACTGTGGACAGCCGTGGGACCCTCGACCTCTGCATGGAGGGAACTGTGCTCCCTGCATCTGGAGAAGCACGTGTTCACGGCTGCCACTCCACAGAATCAGCCAAGCTAAGGTCCAGGGCTCCTTGTGGCGGGCAGGTCCTCCAACCAGTAAGGCAAAGTCCGGGCCTGCGCAAAGCCCCCTGCCCCCTCTCCATCTGCAGTTTGAATACTTGTGCCCTTGCTTTGCCGCCGTCTCCAGGTGCAGCGGCCTCCTCACCGCCTTCAGTAACTGCTCCCCGTCCTTCAGAGCCTTGTCTCTCCTGAAACGCCTTCCTCACACCCCTGAACGGGCCTGCGAGCTCCTCTGCGCTCACCTCAGTCTTGTGTCTGGCTGCCCACTAGGCTGTGAGCATCTCAGAAGCCAAGAATAACTTGTACTCTTTAGATCCCAGTGCCTCCTATAGTAGATACCAAGTCATATGTACATTTGTGCTTCAAATTGTTGTTCTGGCAGTCGAGGTGGACTTGCAGTGATCCCTCCAGCCCAGGTGGTGGCCCCTGGCTTGGTCGACAGTCCACAGTGGCCCTGGGACAGGCTCTTCCTGGGGACTGTGACGTGAGTGGCCCTTGAGGCTCCTTCTTACGTTTTCCTCACTCCATGTCAGAAGAGCCAAGAATTGTGCCAGCAGTGACATTTTATTGGGCTTCTTTAAATGATTGTTTCCTCGCTGTCCTCTCTCCTCTCTCTTCAGCCCCAAGACAGACAGACTGCCCAAGTTCTGGCTAACTCACGCTCTCCTGGGTGGGGGGGGGGGGGGGGGGCCCTCTGTTTTCTTGGCTTGTTGCGATCCCCTATTCACGCATCCATCTACCTGCAGCAGTGCTCTGGGCCTCTCTGTGCTGCCACCTGTGCGCAGGGACAAGGGCTGTGCCGGTGATTCTCCTTAATCAGCAGCACTGAGCATATGTGTTCCAGGTTTAAGTTTGGGAAGCCTGCCTGGAGAGTGGTCAGTCTGGGTTTTGGGAACTTACTGTGAATATGGTGAGCTGCCAGGGGGCTAAATCTTAGACTGAGTCCAAAAGTTGCCAAGAGTTACTAGAAAAGGCCTTGACATTTAAAGGCCATGCATCTTTAAATTCTTTACCTGGGGTTTATTTCAAGGTGGGAGACCTCAGAGGGACAAAGCTGCTAACAAGGGCAAGGTGGGAAGGAACCTGTACCTCTGATGATCTGGGGTTTCTTTCCCTTTTACCCTCATCCTCATCTCCATTGGAAGCAGACCTGCAAGAAAAATTAGAACAGTGTAGAAATGGTCGAAATACGTATTCACCCATCCTCACCAAGATTTTCCAAAACACTCCTAGCTTCAGATATTCCATCCTGTTGCCCACATATCCCTGTAAATCTCTCAGATGTCCTGGAAACTCCAACTTCTGTATAAACTCCATGGCCCTCTTGTATGGAGAATCAGCATAAAAATCCATGGTTATACTGTGTGTCTTCATTTGGTCTTTATGACATGAACTCACCTGGTGATTAACAAGGAAAGCCTGAAACTTGGGGAGGGAGACTGGGCTGTTGAGGTGATGGTGCTGTGCAAGAGAACAAGATCTTCCGTTTCCTGAGAAATGATGAGTTCGGTGTGGAAGCTAAGACTTGCAAAAGCAGGAGGCTCTTGTGTTTGAACCCAGGTTCAGTAGAAACCCGCAGAGTGGAATTAGATTCAGCAAGTTGCTCTGCTGTTCCATGGAGAACAGACTTGGGGGGGCCTTGGCCCTCCCCGCCAGGCTTGGCCTTCAGGCCCCAGGAAGAGCAGCCCACCGCTCATCCCAGAGCCTGTCCCCTGGGGGCTCTGGCCAGTCTGGACAGGAGGCTTTGCTGTCGCGGCAGGGCTCCCTTGTGCTCCTCTACGCAAGCCATGGCTCAGGGTGGACGGCGCTGAAGTGATTGCTCTGCTGTACATTGGGGGCTGAGGGTTTCATGATTTTAAAAGCAGGGGTTTCTTTTTAACTGCAGAGAATCTCTTTTTATCTTGTAATCAGATAGTGAGGCACTTGGGGTCTTCCTGCTTCTGCTGACTCCCTGTATTTACTGGACTTTTTGCTTTTACATTGCAGGTAAACTAAAAGATCTTGGGAACTTGGTTCTTCGGCCTTTTGGACTCTCCACAGAGAATTTCCAGATCAAACAGGATTCCTCTACTGGCTCCTACTCCATCAATTTTGTTCAAAATCCAGATAATAACAGATAACAAAGATAACAATGGCTTGTAAAGCTGGCTTGGAAATTGTATGCTGCCTGTGTTAGCAAGGGGAAAGGCCCTGCCAGTGTTTAACGTTTAACAGCATCTTATCTCAAAGACAGGCTATCTCGTAGAGGCCAGTGCTCCCTTCTCCCCCTTGTTTTATGATCAGGGTGAAACGCAGTTCCTGATGTAATGAGCCTAATTTGATTTCCATTTTAAGGTGGTGTCTGTGCAGCTGTTGCCTTGGTTCTGGCTGTTCTTTGTTTTGTCCGGGAGAAAGCCTGCTTGTCAAGGCTCACCTCCCCGAGCTCCACAAAAACAAGCCCAGCTGGAGTCTCCCGGGCCGAGCAAACCTGCTGGTTGGAGACTACCCAACCACGATCGATGGGGTCCCCACCTGCTGTTCCCTCGCCCCGATCACACGCACTGCCCAGGCTGCCCTGCGTGGGCTCCAACATCTCCTAATTTCTTCTGTGGTAATAAACGCTTTCTGTGACAGTCTGAGCTGGGTTGTGAATTTTGTCCCCATAACAACAGCTAAAGCAGTGTTGGTTTCGAGCAGTGTTACTGGATTCCACAAATCTGCCCAGAGTCTTAGTTGCCACCTTGAAGATGATCTTGAAGAGCTGACCATCCTACCATGTATTAGGATTCAGAAACTCCACCTCACAAGCTGTCCCGGGCCTCTCCAGGTTTGTGCAGATAATTACAAAATCAGTGTTTTTGACCAAGTATCAATCTTAGTAATTTCAACTTAAAATAGCTTCATTCAGGAATGGTGGTATGTGAATCCCAGAGCAAAACCATATTCTTTTAGACTCCATGAACCCAGAAGTTTCAAAGGTAGATTTTTTTTTTTCTAGTCATCAGTGCTGGTGAAAAGCTTTTAATTGTTATGGTTTGAGTGTCAAGGGCAGTGACGTGCAGGTTTCATCTTAGAAATGAAGTAAGTACACGTATAATTCTGTAAGTGACATGCAGTAGGCATGCTCCCAGTGTTAAGAATTGTGCTGTTGTTTCGCTCTGTTCCTCAGAGCCCCTCAGCGTGTGTTGGTAGGCAGTGGAATCATATGCTGTATCCACACTTTGTGATTTGCGAAGCCTTTATCCCAGGTTGAAATGGAATTCCTCATACACTTTGTAAGGGGAAAGGGAGAAGGAGAATGTGGTTTTTAATTTTGCTTTGCTATCTTTATGATAAATCCGGCATCTGATTTTTCCCGAAAGGTGTGTGTGAGAAATCATACAAGTTGTACAGAAAGCTTAGCTGAAAGCCGTGTGGCCCACCCAGCAGTGATGAGTGCATCCTGGGCAGCTGGTGCTGTGCACTGCTGCTCCAGTAGGAGAGCCCTTCTCAGACCTCTTGATCTCAGGACCCCTCCACACTCGAAACAATTTAAAGAGCGCTTTGGTTTATGTGGGTTACATCTCTTCATACTTCCCGTATTCGAAATTAAAACAGAAATTTCTTAAATATTAATTCCTTTAAAAACAACAAAATACATTTTATGTTAATACAAGTATTTTAGAAAAAATCTAAAAATCACATTTTAGTAAGGAGAGAGACATCGTTTTACATTTTTGCAAATCTCTTTTAACATGTGGCTTGATAGATCTGCTTACGTACTCGTTTTGTCACGATATCACGTGTCATGTAGCCTGGAAAATTCTGCATACCTGTGTACTTGTGACAGAATGAGGCAAATAACCTCTTATGAAAGGGTCTCAGGAACCCCTGGGGAGCCTTGGACCACCTTGAAAACCACTTTGTCAGATTATGACTTTTGACCTCAGTTGCTGAGACTAAGCAATGGTCAGGGCTGAGATTCCTGAAGGCTATGTGAGTCTCCAAGGAATAGGAAATAAACCTGTTTGCCTGGAAACAGCCTTTCTTAAGACAATACCATTGCTGCAGGGGGTAGAGGTTTTGCTTCTTAGGCATCCTTCCTCCTCCTCCCCACTTCCTCGCTGAAATATTAAAGGAGGCCAAACAAGGCGAATATTAAGTGCTTCTAGTGATTGGGCCAAGTAATATACCTGGAAAGGAAAGGAAGGAAACCTAAGTAGGTGTGAGTTTGCTTAAGCCAAGGGGTTTATCTATCACTGTTACTTTTCTGCTTCCAAAATCTGGAAGAAAAGATAGATTCAAACCTTTTGAAAATGTTTGTTCAAACCTACAGAAAAATCCTGAAAGGGTTGAAAAGTAGGAAGAGTGTACGTACGAGGGAGGAAGGTGGCCTGTTGCTAAGATGTATGATTTAAAATTCTGTGATGCCTTCCTCCCCTCACACACAAAAAAAAAAGGTATACCAGAATTTACTTTTAAGGTAATCACACTGTGACATCGTATATATACTTATGCCAGTGACATTGCAATGGATCAAAATAATTTTGGAATCTCCTTCTAGAATTTCCTTGAAGGCTCAAACACAGGTTTAAAAATACTATGATCTATTCCCTATCTGCCTCCATGAATAGACCAAGAGCTTCTGGAAGGTAAGGGCCATGTTTATATTCTTCATAGCACCAGCAGCTACTGCTTTACTAGAAATTTTGTAAATTGGCATTAAAGAATGTTCCACGAGAAGTGGTCTCAAAGTGAACAACCATTCTATCCAAACGTCTCTAGATTCTGTGGCCTTTATTTGGTACCTGTTTTTTTGACGCTTAAAAAGACATTCATAAAGAGTCCCTTTAAGCTGGTCGAGCACATCTTGTGCAGCCACGTAGAATGTCCTCAGATGGTGATCATTCAACCTGGCCTGTAAACATATGCCTCCTGTTTTTTTGTTTGTTTTTGTTTTTTTGGCTGCGTTGGGTCTTCATTGCTGCACGGGCTTTCTCTAGTTGCGGGGAGCGGGTGCTACTCTTCACTGTGGTGGCTTGTTGTGGAGCACGGGCTCTAGAGCACAGGCTCAGTAGTTGTGGCGCACGGACTTAGTTGCTCCACGGCATGTGGGATCTTCTCGGGCCAGGGCTTGAACCTGTGTCCCCTGCATTGGCAGGCGGATTCTTAACCACTACGCCACCAGGGAAGCCCTGCCTCCTGGTTTTTAAATTCTTATTTTTGCATCTTGTATATTTACAAGGATTTGTGTTGAGAGTTTCAGAAATCCCCAACTTTTCTAGTTTCAGGCTCCCCTCCTTCTCCCAGGTCATCTTGTGTTCTCCGTATATGTTTCCACACCGTCTCCCAGTTCTCACATGAGCAGCTTTTCCGTTCATGGGAGCCTCTGCAGAAGGCTTGCCCAGGAAATGGCACTGTCACTACAACAAATTCACACTTGAATGGTAGTTTTTGTGTGCAGAGTGTACTGTGGATTAGTTCATTTTCCACACATCATGGTTGAATCCTAGTCTTAAAATCCAACCTCTTTTTCTAAGAACTGTGACTTTCCACACGCGTCTTCCTCCCATCACAAGCACTGCAGCTGGTTTCTCGTTCCCCTGCCCTTTAGCTCCTCGTCCCCCCCCCCCCCGCCCCCACCCACCCAAACGTCTCTTATTGCATTGTTGTGCTTATAGGCCTAGAGAATGCTAACACCATGCCGAGATGTGGAGGCTGGGAGTGGCCAAGCCTGCTAGCTAATGACCTGAACATTGCAGCCCGGGGCCCGCGTGTGAGCTTCAGTAAACTGACAAGACTTCACACACTGGACCTCCAGAGTTACTCAGGTACAGTCAAAGGTGTGAATGTTTGTTGAGTCCTACAACACTTTGTGTAGTTGAAGGTAGGGAACTGCTTTAGGAAATGTTGCTGGGCCTGGTGATTATTTCTGGTGCTCCTCAGGTCTCTGTGGTAGTTTCCAAGCCTATCGCACACATCTCACACAGCTCTCAAGCTAGAATCCAGACTGCTTTAGGAAGGCCAGGCACAGGGACTTTACGGAAGCGTGTTCCAGTCTGATTGGACTGCCGTGGAATGGGGAGCCGGCAGCGGCTGTTAAATGTGAACCTGATTGGAAGGTGTATTTGGAAGGTTGTTCCCAAGAGCTAAATAAGCAGACCTGCAAATTCTTTTACAACTGGTTTAGCAAAACTTGGAATGTCAAAAGGGAAGGCTGTGATAGGAGACCAAGGAGGATGGGAACAGCCGTGCAAGTTAATGGCTGCTTTAATCTTGAGAAAGATCTTTAAAGGGAAGGGGCCAATAACCCTCCAGACCAGAGTGCAAATCTGAGATACGGCACAGGACAGGAGAAATCAGCGGCTTAATTAAGCGCCTGCCCTTTCCCTCTCAGCTCTCTGTGCGTTTTCGCTGTGCGAAGGGAAAGCCTGCGGCTGCCCAAGCTCAGTCTCCTTGGTGCGACTGAGCCCTGCAGCCCAGCGGTCGCCACCAGCCCACTGTTATGTCGGTGTTGCTCTCTGTTCACTTCTGCTTTTGACCCTGCCTTTTTCACCTCCCTGCCTCGTCCCTCCAGTATTCCTTAAGACGCTGTACTCTTCCTCTTCTACTCCTGTGGGTGTATGCTGTGTACTCGATACACACCCCACACCCTAGTAGAATCTCCTGGAAGCAATTTCAGTGAGATGTTTATGACTCTTTTCAGCCTGTCCCCTCTGCACTTCAGTAGTAACAAGCTTAGTCCTTCCATCACCTGGATTTCCTTTAAAAAAGGAAGTATGTGGACATTCTACCACATACTTCCAGAAGTGGCTGGAAATTCTGTTCCTTCAGGGAGCTGCACAGCTACGCAGAGAAGGGAGGTTTCCAGTCACTTTCTGTTGTCTGGAGAGCGGCCTTGAGCCCACATTAGACTAAGTCCATTAATATTGCTGAAAATGAGAAATGGACTACTTGCTACCAGCCAGTCCAAGAGGTGGGGCTAAAATAAACTGCAGAACATCAGAGTGACTGCTTAAGACCCTTCAAAGGGCAATCAAAGAAACTAATGATAAAATCAGTTTATGAAAACTAGTGAGGATGTCCTCATGTTTCAAAGTATCAAAAATTTCAATCTTCCTGGCTAAGAGCTGGTAACTGTTGAAGGGAGGGATGGGTATATGGGGTTTGTTGTACTCTACCTTTACAAATGTTTGAAATATTCTATGATAAAAATACTCCATTTCCTTCTAATTTCTCAACCCTCTGAGGGCTATAAGCTAGGAATAAGCTCCATCACACAGAAGTTAATTCAGCCAGACTAGGAATATGACTCCCTACACCGTTTCCTTTCACTCAAGGGAAAACTTTGTAAGCTCACATTTTCCCCTTAGCTAAAGCATGGCAGAGCCTGCTGCCCCACTGCCAAGGAAGCCCACAGCTAATAATCTGGCCATGATTCAGTCCCAGCTGCTAGTTCCGGCTTGCTGAAAAATACAGCCTACCCAGATGGCAACTCCTATCAGGCACTGGGACCCCTTGGCCATCAGGCATCATGACAGATGTGAAGGGAGTCAACCCAGAGGCTCCTGAGGAAGCCCTTAGTTCCAAACGTGAGGCGCTAGATCTGCAGATAGTGGAACCTCATTCTTCTTGGTGTGGTGCTTTGCTAGGCTGATGTCTGTATCGGCCACCCCACCGACTCACACCAGGCAGCTGCCCTGTGCTGCCAAGCACACAGGTGCCCTCCAGCTCCCAAACTCAGCAAGTCGGAAATCCACAAACGTGAAAGTCGTCAAGCAAACTGAAGACAGAATGAGGCCAGGGATGGGGAAGCATGGGAATGGAGTGAGGTGGGGCGTGTTTATTGGTAAATTTCAAAGGATATAGGCTTTGGTGGACGCTATGGTCCTTGTTGTCAAGTACACTAGACTGTTTTGTAGGGACGGTCTGACTGCCCCAAAGGAGAATACGCCGTCTGCAACTTTGCCTCAGGAAGTTAACTGGGAGAAAAGGTCTGATAATTTCCTAGAGCTCTGTGACACTGACTGGATTCTGCCACTGGCTGGTTGGCATCAGACCAGGAGTTACAGCTTCAGCTTGTGCTTTTCCAGCCGCTCCCTTTCTACAGGCGTTAAAGCAAGGTGCGTTTAAACATGTGAATCACCCCCATCACCATCTTGTAAAGTTGCTTTGTGTCTCACTGAAGCCCCTGGCTGTGCCTTCCTAGGGCAGTGACACATCAGGCTCCCCTTTACCTCAGGGCCCTTCCCATTTTGGAATTCGCTCACCTCCTTTAGATCACAGGTTTGAGCGGTCTGCTCAGTGTCCAAAGGAGTCAGGCACTGAGCGCAGACAGAGTTCAGAAACATAAGATTATAGAATATTTCACTCGGGGAAGAAGGTTCCCTGATGTTGCCCATGTTTTTGGCCTTGGCTGAGTAGGAACTAAAGAGCTAGTTGAGTGAGACACTTATTTTCCATACCCCATTTTGGCCAGTGTGGCCACTAAGTGATTCTTCTGTTGGTAAGGTAACTGATAGAACTAAGATTAGAGTCCATGTCTCTACCTTAGACTAAATAAAGCAAGTTATTCAGATAAAAGCGTCATCATAATATCACCCACTCTCTTTCCCTCCTTTATGTTAGAAAGTTGCTTCTACAAATGGGCTTCAGGAGGGAATGAAGAAAGGTCTAACCCTAGAAGTATTAACTCTCCAGGTCAGTGACCTAGCATTGGGTTTGGCCAGCTCTTTCTTTCTCGGGCACAGGATGCCTTAGTCGTATTCTCTTTCATCCCAGGGTCATCGCCTTCTTGATATCAAAGGAGTTAGGCCGTGAAATTTTTTTGTGAGTAAGCAAAGATTTGGCAGGATGCTCATCACTAGAAGAAAGTATGCTTAAAAAACACATAGTATGCTCTATTCAAAGCTCTGAGGGAAGACTCATTACTTGAAAGAGTAGAGACGAGCTGTCAGGTATAAAAGCAAGAAAACGGCTAACTTTTACGTGCAGTGACACGCCCAGCGTGTGCAGGGAGACACTGGTACAGCCTTAACGTGATTTGAGGGCATGGATCTGAATTATGCTGTTATCTGAAGACAGCACCCAAAGTTGCCATCTGTGGCTTTTGTTACTCATTCCCTCTATCTTGTAGGAGTTGTATCTATAAATATACTGACATGTATACAAGATGGTTAGGAATGGTATTGCAGGGGGTCTCTTCTAAGGCCTTCCCAGATAATATGCACATGACTTGTTTACCTTCCCTGGTTCTCTCGTTCCATTTTCATTTGTGGGAAACATGAGGGGAAGAAAAAGATATTAACGGAGCCAGATTTCAGTGGCCTCCTTCTTATGCTCATTTAGATAAACTGAAATGGGAGAATGTTTGTGATTAAAGACTCCATGATACTCTGGAATAACAGGCAGCCTTCTAAAGGATAGCTTTACCCAAATGGGGAAAGAAAAAAAACCAAAAACGTACACTGACTGAAGTTTCTGGGTCAGCCCTAAAAAATCTCAACTGTCTGGTAGGTATCAAGAGGCTAATTTTTCCTGACAACTGAGTGTTTCTGGTCAAACACTTGACCTAACGTTGGATGTACTGGGCTTTTAAAGAAGTAACCATTTATCCATAAGGGCAAGGCTAATTAAAATTAGGACAAGCCCAGCAGTAGATGTTTGTTTAATTACATCCAACTCTGAGTAATGGGTTATTCGTTTCCATCAGAAAAGAAAACAGTAATGTTGGTGCACAGGTTCCTAATTAAACTATTCTCCTTTCCTCTATCCTCTATCCTCATAAAGACATCCCATTGAATCTCCCAGTGATTAAAAACTACAGGTTGTTCTCCTAAGGAGGCAGTGCTAGTTAAAACAGCTCCCTCAAGGACAAGTGGTTGAATTTTAACAATTTAAAAAATAACCTTTAAAACCTAACTAACTCCTAAAAAGTAAATGAATAGTTTTTAAATAACTAAATTTTAAAAAAAATCAAGACTTTATTGGATAAATGTTGTACAACATTCTTTAACATTTAGGTCTCAGCATAGTTTAGATGAGAAACAATTTGTCATTCAGGTCTACAAAATGAAATAGGCTTGTGAAGATTTGAAATACAGACAAAGGAAGCATGAAGCAAAGCTTAAATATTAAGCAACTAAAGCGGTGAAAGTGAAACAGCAACATGGTATGTCTAGATTTTAAATACCACCAAGTTTCATTTTTTAAAAAAATGAAAATCTGGTTTATAACAAACAAACACCACTGAGAATTGTCTTAAAAAATATTTAGATACTTAAAACCCGATCTCTCCCAGTTCTTTTGCCTTTATATTACTTCTTGGTCATTTCCATCACTCTGCAATTAGAATTTTTGATTACACAAAATCTGCTATGACCTGGGAGTTATCTGATTCTTGAAGTGAGCCTGAAAGGTACTGCTGGGTTACATATCTGAAAGAACAAGAGGGACCCGAGCCTAAGCTCTGGGGCCAGAGAGCAGGGCGCCACTGAAGTGTGCATCATCTTTAGAACGCCCTGCTGCTACAGTTCCTGAGCTGACTTTTTCAGACTTGATCAAATGTGTAATGACTTCATGATCAATGATTTTCCGTAAAGACAATTTCAGAATGCAGTCTAGACTTTTAGTTACTTACAGTGTAATTAGGATTTGCATTAACTGGCTAGAAGCAAGACTGCCTACCTTTTCTTGAGTTGTAAAACAAATCCTAGCCAGGTATAGTAAATATTCTAAAACTCACCCAGAACTTTTTGTTACTCTTGAGTGTGGGGTTAATAAGTAATTCCAAACCTATACTGTAAGATTATGCATAGCTTGAACACTTGAGCCAAATGCTCAAGTTATGTTGCTTCAAATGCATTTTCTATTTTTCTCCTTTTTTTGTATTAAGTAATCAATATGGATTATCTTTCTGGTTTAAAAAATAAATCAGCATTGCCACTAAAAAACTTCAGGTTTATTATTAAAAGTACGGCACCATCAAATATAAAATGCCTTAAAAATGTAGTACTAACAGGTCCATCTGGTTTTCTCATTAATGTTTTCTCCATTCATTAAAAAAGAAAAATTAAGGTTTTTCATAATATGTATTTTTCATAGACAAGAAGAACATTACAGTCTCCATTAATAAGAATTCATACTTTATGCATGAAAAGTTCACCATCTTTATGCGTCTGTTCCTGCTGCTTGTTCCCCAGGGTCAAGTCCCATCTGACACCTGTGAGGATTTCTTGCACTTAGAAAGAGAGGCTCTCTGTGGAGAGAGGTCAACATCAAAATTCAGATATTATCACCTTTTCTGAACTAGTTCAGAAATCAGTAAGGATAGGGAGAATAGTACAAGCCTTTCCAGCTCAGCAGAATTAAGAACTGGCTCTTAGAGTACATTTTCACTCCAAGATCAACACTAGCCTGATCCACTTTGAGTCAGAATTTGAAAGGTAAGAATGTAGTTATGAAAGTGTGCACAAAATATTAAATACTGGTGGCAAATAAATACATCTTAATATGTTCTAACAAGCAAATGTATATTTAAGATAATATAGCCCTGCTTTACTAAAGATCCAAGTTTTCTTAGTGGGTTGGGGACACTTGGCCATCCTTTTAGTAGTATGTGTTTGTTAGATAATCTTTTCTGTTTCCACTGGCATCCTGAAGGAAACATTGGCCTCGGCATTTGTGACTATTGCTGTTTCATTAGAAGAGCCATTTTAGTAATACCTTTGTTCATATCTGAGCTGATTAAACCTTGGAGAAAGCACAAAGTTTTAATATGAAAAATAATTCAGCATTTCTGTCACCATCTCATGCCTTTCAGGCTGTCCAAACTGTACTGAGAAGAACTTCATGTTCAAAAGAAGGTACTGTCAGTGATTCTTCACACATAAAATTCAAGAGAGTTCTTTGCGTATTTCACATCACTTTTCTCCTCATCTCATGCATAATTTATTGCAATAGTTTTTTTATAAAATATTCCCCTAATACCTTTTCTTCGGTTTAATATAGCACAATTTGCAAGTGCCCCTTTATAGACTGTTGGTTTTAACCACTGCCTGCATATTTACTTCTTAGTGCAGCTTTAAAAATCTGAGTCTCCAATTTCATTCAGTCCTGATGCTCTGGTGTTCTCTGTCATTGTGGTACAGGTCCATGAAACCAGCAGCCTGCTAATGTCTTTGTGCTGAAATACAGTAAAGAAAAGGAAGAAAATGTAGTTAAGCACAAGTAATTATATAAGAAAAATGATGTCCTTGTTTAAATTAAGCCCTATATAGACTGTGGGATCACACCTGATTTTTTACTTTAAATCAGTTAAACCTGACCAGTGTAGGTTTTTTGAGAAAACAACTTACTGCCACTGTAAACCAGCAGAAGCATTCATGTTCTTTCTGAAGTATATCTGGCCAAATTCCAACACAAATAAAATGGTTTTCACCTTCACGTAATCAATCTGCACTTGAGTGTATTTTTGTAAATACTTATTTATGAATGTTTGCCTAATAAAGGGATTTTAGCTTTGTTCTTTATGCTGCCATTTCACAAGTAACAATATAAAAGTTTGCAAGTCAGCTTCGCCGCTGTGGACTATGAAACGCCAGCAGCCTTCCTCTAGCACAGGCTTAAGAAGCAAATTTATATACAAAACCAGACTATGGAAAAATCAGCTGCAGGTGACACTGTCTACATATGTGCAAGAGCACAAAAGAGGGGGGTGGAGGGTGCCTCCCCAGAGGTAGACACACACAGCACATCAGAAGGCATCAAGAGCACCATTTTGCTACTGGAAGAGAACTTAGGTACACTGGTTCCATTGACCAGTGTCCCTTGTTACAACAGCAAACCAAGTTACCAGCAGAGGCACTCTGCACCATACCTCCAACAAAAAGCCGGGCTCTGAGCAGAACATTTATAAAGGGCAAGGCTTATAAAAATTACTGCTAAGTAGCATGACCAGAATGCCCAACATTACCGACCTCCCTCTGATATCAAGAAGTAGTAGAATCCCACTGAAACGCTCTACAATCCCTGGTTATGCCTCTCAAACCTGTGAGCCTAAGTACCAATAAGAGTTTGAATTCTATAAGAGGTGATCTGTGGAAAGAATAATGATTACTTTTGGTCAAATGTATTTTTAAACCAAAGATATGGTATCTTCAGTGGAATAATAGACAAAACAAAAATGCAAAAAGGAAAAAAGAAAAACCACCCCCATCCTTCCCAATATTTGACTATGAAACACTTCAAAGTAGATGTATTTCTCATTCTTTGATAGAACTCTTGATCTTATGTTAACTTTCCAGGGCTGCCATATTTCATTCACTTATTGGATCAAGGCCTATAAAATAAATTTCACAGGGCATTCTATCACATTTCTTCTCAAGCAATGAAAAATTGCTTCTAGCCATAAATACCGCACACATCAAAACAGCAGTCCCTGCTTATTACTAAAGCAACAGAATCATTAACATGGTTTTAAAATTTGACACTAAGCTAAGTTTTTATTTTCTAAAAGTAAGATATTATACTAATATCATAATACTAATAAATTTAGACTCATGGAAATTTGCAAGTAAATATCCCCATTTTATAAACTGAAAGAGAAGAAAAGGTAAACAGCCAGTTCCATGTACAACTCCATTTCCTTCTGCTTATGACTCTCAATATTTGGCTTCAACCTTAGTGAGGCCTATTCCAGTTGGCAGGAAAGCCAAAGATCGAAGCAGATCTTACTACTACTCCTGTGGGAGGTGCAGAAAATTGAAAATGCTGTTCCCTCAAGGGGTCACCAGGTAGCTACAACTCCTATACAGCTAAGAGTCCAAAATACCCCAGCCTTAATCTCTGATCCAAAATGTGCCATTCTGACCCAGTTTGCAAATTATAGCTCATACACAATGATACAGTCCAATTACAGCTCTTCACTAGCTTCAAACACCAGAGTTAAATAGCCTTAATCAAGAAAGCAAAGAAAAGATCCTAAGTTCAAAAAGCAGCACAACAAAAATCCCTTAAACCCTTCCTGCCATGTAAGAGCCCCAAATAAGGATTTTGAGCATTATCTAAGGAGGTTTTAATAAATATACCTAGATTACAACTACACCTCAGCATTATCTTTGCCACCCTCTAAGTTTTGACATGCCTTATGTAAATGACAATGGTTTTGAGGTTGATTTAATTAAGAATATATATACGTTCATATACCGATATACATATATATTCTTTATATTAAGTAATGACTATCTGAGAAGTTAAAGTGATGAGTATAAAAGTGACAAAGAAAGACTGAGAGAGTGAAAAGATAAAGAAATCCACTAGTTGACTTTCCATGGAGACTCAGTTGCTACTTGACATAATTCTGCAATCTGACACCCAACTTCTACCACCCTACGAGAAATTCCTCTGGATTTATGGAAACTCTCAGGAGGCCGGCTCTACCTTTTTTTTTTTTTTTAAACACAGCAGGTAATATTGACTGAAAGCTATTTTCACTCATGAAAACTATCACCAACATGAGGTACACCCAGCTAACAAGGTCAGTGAAAACAAAGGAAAAAGAACTAGTGCATTCTTTTACGTCTAGCCTAATCTACTTTGGGAATGGTAAGTGATGACATGAAGCCCTCTTCACTTTGTGGCAGGGCTTAACACAGACAGACCTGCCCGTTTCACTGTTAACGTCAATGCTCCCAGTCTGAATCCACAGTGGTCTGTCAGACACTGTAAGGGAGCAGCAGCACTCGTCACTGTCTGATGTAATAGCTGCCATTTGTTGAGACCTATGGTAGAAAAAACCAAGTTAACAAAAATAGAGCATTTGAGTTCTTTTTCACCCATTTTACCAAAAAAAAAATTTAAAAATAAGACCAAAATGCAGGTGAATTTTTATAATGAATTTATTCTAGATAACTTGCTGGCTTCACACAACGTGAAGCTCTGGTACTAAAGGAAAAGACTTGAGGTGTGTACACACCAGTCTTGTCCAGGAGAGGGCACTCTCCAGCCCAAGTCAGTTGAGCTGCAAAATGCCTTAAGGCTCATGAAGATGTTGCCCTCCAATGCTAACTCACAATTTAATGCTCCTGACAAAAAATTTTTACTGGCCTAACACTAGCCTAGTGATGGAGTAGTCCTGACCTTCTCAGTATTCAATAAGGGCCAAAGTTGTCATCCCTATCTGTATCATATCATTAATGAGCTCAGAGACACCATTTTGAAGAATCACCAAAACTGCCTGAATCCCTCCCCTTTCTCCTTAATGCCAATGGCACCTGTGCATAGTATTCAGCACCTGAACTTAGTGAGGTAACACCTACTTGAAATAAGTTTGACAAGGTAAGCTTTCTCTTAGGCTTTCAGAACAGAGACTTCAAATACTAAGCAAATGAAGGATTACTATTTTAAGCCTTATTTTTTATTAACCTATTTGCTTGTTTCCTTACTTTCCCTACTTTAAGTACAGTATAAATAAGAAAAAACTCATCTATCATATCAGTGTAGGCAACTCTGGGATCACTGATTTAGATAATGTCCAGTCCCTGTAATATTTTTTTAATGCTGAATCAGAAGCAGTAGCTAATCAAAACCTTTTAAAAAAAGGCTTTTCTGACACTGAAAAGGAGAAACTTTATACACCTGATCTATAAAGAAACATGATTACTTCTGAATTTTAACTCAGAGGAGAACAATTTTCTTAAATGTGGTTTAATAATGAGGTTATTTACCCTTTTGTTCATGGGAAAACTTAAATATACTATTAGCTACAATCCAACAGCAGTCACACAAGAAAAACAGAAATATGAACGCACGAAGAATTTATCTTTTGAACCTCTCCCTCCATGGGTAAAACTTAGGTTTCAACAATCATCCTAAAGAATCTCCTTTTCACTTCTAGGCAAGAGGAGAGTCAAATCAAAGAATGATCTTATTTCTGTGCATTTACCCCTCCAGCGCCCAGAAATGCTGTGTAAAATAGTAACATGCAAGACCCCAGTCCACAGATCCTGGCCCATGAGTCTTTTGTGCTAATGTTTAAGATGAGTATCCCCTCAATGCTTTTTAGGGTCTCAAGGTTTTTCTTTAGAAACTGACCACACTTGCAGGACCCATGAGGAAATGCCAGAAAGCCCCAGCAGTGAGGCAGTAAATGGAAGGAGACCCTCATGAAAGGCAGTGATTTCACTGGAAATTACTTGTTTTGTCCTTTAAGAGAAAGCTTACATTCAACAATGGCAACTACTCCTGGGAGGCAGCAGAGATATAAAGGGGCAAATCAGAACACGGTAAGAACCTTCAGTCTCCTTTGTAGAGTGCATGAAAGAAGGAAGTAGAGGTCACACTCTTAGAGCAAAGCCCAGAATTAAAAACTAAAGAATTAAGATTACTATCTTCCTGAACATTCAATATAAATTTTCTCTTAATACAATGTAGCGTGATGCAACATGAACAACCAGGAAAAGAATAGATAGTGCCTCATTTTACAATAGACATTCTGGTTTTCCACCCTAATGCTATTTTTCTAACCAGTTATTTAATTAGGGTTTTAGACAAACTGCACATAGTTCTTCCCAGCATACCAGGACAAACACCAAGATGTGCCACTCCCAGCCGGATTCCCTGCTAAAAACTAAACGGTGAGGGGAAATCACAGGTTTGTAATCAACAGCATCTCAAACAGGAGCCATGGGTAGAAATGACTACCCTCTGGAAAATATGGCCACGACGCACACAGATCAAGGCCTTGGAATGTAAGGTATTTCCCTCCTAGAAATGGGAAACAATCTAATCATACCAGTGGCAATAAAAGGGGATGTTCAAATTAATGTCCACTTTTTCACCATTTGGCAAGATATTAAAATAAAAACACCAGGGTTCCAGGAAAACACAGTATCTGTACAAAAAAGCTTATTTACACTACTTAAAAGCTGACAAGTACAGCTCTGTGGTTCTAATACCTTTGGAAAGTCCTCCTAAGAGGACCTCTACTCCACTGAGCCCCACCAGCTCAGATACTTCTCATGCCTTTGAAAGGATCTGGGGTGTGCTGGGCTTCTCAGATGGTTACTGATCATTAGTATGTAAGTGTCTGAATCATAATTCCTTTTCCTCATTCAAGAGTTGAAATGTCAGTGGACTTCTCCCCTCACCATATTCCCCATGACCTCCAACCCAGTTGCCCTCCAC